TTTACCTTGATGAGTTCCGAATTGGAATTTCAGTAAAAGGAGATTAGTTTTTTAACTTTATTTTCTTATATATTTTTCCCTTTTGCATTTTTGTTTATTGAATTGTTAAAAATTGTTGTTTGAATTTGTACTACCATGAATTATTTTAATTTTGATTGGTTTAGATATTGTGTTAAACCTCTTATATGCAGTAATTGGAATTGCCTTGCTCCAATTTACTCCAGTTTATTTTTAACGTTAAATGCTTTAAATTTATATATATATATTTATGGTACTTTTTCATTTTGCAGTGCAGGCGATAAAGTCGCCCAAAATAGTAAAAACGATGCCAAACGGAGTATCTTCGCTGTAACCTTTTACGCCTCATTTTCAAAACAAGTTGCAGCAATTTCTTATAAGATTGATTGTTTCTTTCAATACTGGCATACAAATACATAGAATTTTTACCAGATAGTTCAGTTTTATGCCCTAAGGCCAGTTGCAATAATTAAGTTAATTAGGCTGCATTAACACTTCTCACCCGAAGACAAAAATATAGAAAAGTAATGTCAAAGGTTAAATTCATCAATTCTAATGAAAATGCAGTCGCAAAGTAAAGCATTGCTGTTTTAAATAATTTCTGAGTAAGCCCTAGTACAAATTGAAGTAATTCTTGCATTTAAACTTGTATTTCATTTGAAGATTTTTTTATTTTTCGGATTTGTTTTACTGATGAATTCGTATATTAATTTTGATTAGGTTTAGTTACGTTTGACCTTTTATCGATGATTTCAATCATTAATATTAATAGGGAATTGCATTGTTTTGATTCCAATTTTATTTTATTTTTAATTTTGGATGCTTTTATGTTTTATATACATATATGCATTTATGCACAAAATAAATAAATAAAGTGTTATGCACCTCCTCCCAAAAAAGGTCAGTCAGTTGTGACTTAAGATAATAACATAATGAATCATCTAACCTTAAATCACTGAAGTATATGAAAAATGATTGATTGTGAAGATACATAGGGAAAATTATCTATCACCTTATCTGTTACAAAGGATTATGTTGATACTGTGAAGTCAAGTGACTAATAAATTGACTTCTTCATTAATTAGAGTATTTAATTTTCATGAATATGACACAGAAGCAGAACTATCTTGTAATTTCTTCTTTCTTTTCATGCATTCTCTTGAAATAAATTACCTTTGAGATCCAGTGTCACATAAATATCTACACTTTAAACTGTTGTTCAAAATTTTGAATATTTAATTACTACTGTACATAACAAAGTGTGACTATTTTGACTAATTTTTGCATTTGAATCATAATGAGAGGCACAAACTGTAGACTTAGCATTTGCTGACTCACTTTCAGAAATAAATTTTTATGTGTGTGGAGATACACTATTTAATGGAGTTTTTGTACTTTGAATTATTTACAATGTACAGAATACTGAGATGCTTCATAAGGCAATAATGATATAGTTTTCTACCACCTCAAATATCGTCTGTGCATACAGTTTGCGCTGGTGTGTTTAATCATATTTGGTCAAACACGCCAAATATGATTAAACACGCCAGCTACCACATTGTAGCACCATTTGTAGTTGAAAGAAAGAAACTTATTTAGAACACTGTTGTTGTTAAATTTGTAAAAAAATATCGTTATCATTAAGTACAAGATATCTGAAATTAAACTATCATACTACCACATTAGAACCATAATTTACTTTCCGTTCTGTTGCAAAACGTCAAAGGGCTTCATACCTATTCTGAAAGCAACATTAGTTCTTTCAAGTGTTAATAAATGCAAAACATTTGACAAATCTTAGAAATGCTGTTTATTCACACAAAGGAGAATATCAAAATCTGTTCAATTTTTTAAAGAAGTAATTGATAATATCGGGTTTTAACAAAAGTTTCCTGCCATCACAAATACTGTCTGTGCAAACAATTTGTGTTAGCATGTTTAATCATATTTTATTAAATGATTTTTGGCGTTTGAAAGAATGAAACTTGCTTTAGAACACTGTTGTGAAATTTGCAAAAAAATATCGTTATCATCAAGTATAAGTTGTCTGAAATGGAACTATCATGCTACCAGATTAGAACCATCACTTACTTCCAGTTCTGTTGCAAAAAGTCAGCTACAAAATATCATCAAGTCATGCATACAGCCTTAGGTACTTATGTTGTATCATATGGCACTGTAAAGGTTTGGTAACGAAAGTTCAAAAACAAGGACTATGACATTCAAGAAGCCAAGCGCTCTGGCTGGCCTACTGATGTTGATGCCACCTGCAAGAATTTTTGGAAGAAGTGTTACATAGAAAAAAAAAAGGAAAATTATTTGTAACATGTAACTTTTAAGCTAACTAACGTATTCTTTGGTGCCACAACAACAACAACAACAAAAAAAAAAAAAAAAAAAAAAAAAAAACTTAGTTACCACTCTCAGAATCAAAATCTTAACACTTTATAATCAAAGAAATCAAAGCAAATATCCTCCCTGATGTTTGGGTAAAAACAAAGATTATTTATTAAAACAAAATGATAAGCGCACTTCCGCAACAAAATCATTAGCACGCTATCTCTCACTAAAACAAAACTAATTCAGATGTTAATGAAGTAAATCCACTCTTCATCACAAGTGACTTGTACGTCAAGTTTATGGGATGCATAGAACCTGAAAACACATAAATTTAAGCACTGATCTAGAGATAGCCTTAAAACACAACATTTAAAATGCAACACAGAACTCTTTAAAACACCAGGGAAACTAAATCTCACACTTAAGAAGTCTACTCTTCAATTCCTAATAAATTAATTAAGTCAATCGTATAGTCACAACCCTTAAAACTGATTTTCTACTACCCAGGTTCGAATTGGAGTAAAACCATGTTTCCGTAAGGAACACATAGGTGACCTACAGTAGACCACAATTAAAACTCATAGCTGGCCAAACTACCCCTACAAAATCTTTTTTTTTTTTTTTTTAATTACTCATCCCCCCTTATATCCATCTCATTTTTAACATTATTCAATTCATACAAAAATCATAGTGAAACACCTCACAGTTATTAATCTTTTTTAAACAGGTACTCAAGAAATTTAAACTCATTTATAAAGCTAATTTAAAATAAATCATATTTGTTTCAACTGTGACACATCAGTATATTTATCTTCGGTCATATTGAAATTAAATGAATATAGCAATTAAACATTAAAACAAAAATTCACTCACTAAAATTAGTTCAATTATAACTTCTGACAATTAAACATTAAAAAAAATAAAAAATCACTTTCTCAGCTATAAATTGAGTAACAAAAAATATTCAAATTTTCGTATACGTAACATGACAGCTCAAGCTTTAGAAACATATTCTAAACATGCAACCACTCGAGAGCCTGCTAAGTCATCTTTTAGTCGTGCTATGTCCTTTAGTCCATGTCCTTTAGTCGTGCTATGCATCCCATAAACTTGACGTACAAGTCACCTGTGATGAAGAGTGGATTTACTTCATTAACACATACAGAAAAAGGGGTTGATCAGTGCCTGGTGAGCCCATTGACATTGTTGTAAAGCGCAATTTGACTAACAAAAAGATGATGCTTTGTATTTGGTGCAATTGTTGTGGTATTATCGACAAGGAGTATCTGGAAAAAGGTAAATCCCTCGACAGTAAGATGCACATCAAGATACTCGTCTGTGTTGATACTGCTATCAAGAAAAAGTGTCGGAGAGTTCCGGTGCATAAAGGTAATATTCCATCAAGATAATGCAAAACCACACGTGTCTGCATTCACTGGCTGTTCTCTGTGTGCATGTGCATTAAAATTAAATACTCTGCCACACCTACCATATAGCCCCGACATCGCTCCTTAGGACTTCTACCTTTTTTCACACCTGCAGCTACAACTTGTGGTGCTATCTTCCATTCTATACATGTGTTCAAAATAAGGTTGATATGTTTTTGGACTCGTGGCCACCAAGTTTCTCGGCTGAAGGCTTTGAAAAACTACCAAAACTTTGGCAGAATATCATAGATTTGGGTGGTGATTACTACCCGCACTAAAGATACTGCTTTCATATTTTTTCCTCCTAACTTTATTAGGAATGTTTTTAGCAGAAAACTCGTTACAACCAGATATTTCAGCATTGGTTAGAGCAAAGTCTTTTTTTTGCATCATAGCATGTAAATTTTCAAGTAATTATCTCAATAACATAAATTTTTAAATGTTATTTAGAGCTTATAATAAGAGAATGACTGTGTACATTTGCTATAAAGCAACGTATTCTGTCATCACTCTTCAACAGTTTACTGTTTGGGGGAAAAATTTTTCAAGCAGTAGCTGCACCGTAGTGGAAATCTATAGGTATATTGCTTTGCAATTAAATCTGTGAGACTGTCATGTCTTTTAATATTGTTATGAATCCTAATACAGCTCTAATTTATTAAATATTAATATCAAAAACATCTGTAGTCTTTTTTTTTTTTTTCCCACGTCATTGTGGCATTAACTCATGCAACCTAGTGAAATGCTAATTCTAAGAGTAGGCATTACCCCTTTTCCTCAGGATTTTTCTGTCTTGGCAAGCTGCTGCCTCTAACAGTATTTTATAATTTTGTGACAAAAAGTCTTGATATATTATTCAAATTATAAAACTAGATTCTGGTATAACAAATTGATCAAATTAAAAATACTATAGCTAATTCTTTAATTTTTAGTGTAATTAACAAAAGATGTTTGTAATGCCATGCATTATTGCAGTTAGATATAGAATAATCACTTACATACTGCTTGCCACTTACCACTGCCTGTGAATGTGATAAATCTTAAATAAATTTCTTGAAATGTTCTGGCATTTGTTAAAAGTTCCTTTATATTTAATGTATATATTTAGTCAATTAATTTTTGGCTCTTTGTTAATAATGGTCTTCTCTGTTTATTAAATAAAAAAGATTATAACTGTGGTTTAGTATCATAAATTTTGAATGTTACATTTTATAGGTTTGAGACTGAAACTGAACTTGAGAATATAATTAAAGGTAAAGAAGATTTAGTAAATAAAATGGGTACTCTGAAAAAGAAATTAGAAAGTGTAAGAGCTTCCAAAAAGTCTATTGACTGTGAGCTTCGTGAATTAAATGGGTAAATACAATATTTTCTTTATATTCAATATGATACTGCATTTTCTTAGAAGCCTTTTTTTAAAACTATATCATTGCTATTGAACGATTCCTGTTTATCCTGAGCAACAATGAAATAGCTTTTGAAAAAATTCTAACTTTCATTAAAATTTTCACAGTTTTATTTTTCTCACTAAAATAAATATTTTAGGTTTAATTATGTTTGCTGCTTTTGATATCTTCAAAATATTCATGGATTCTGCAAAAATTGTTTCCTTTTTTATGTTCTAGTGTTAAATGGATTTGAAATTTAGTTTTCAGATCTTAAAAATTATCTGTTTACTTATGATCAGATTCCAAATTTTATAACTGTGAATAATTAAAAATTCTGCTCAAGAAAACTTCCTTTAATTTTCTCAGCCTTATTACTTGATTGGAATTCCTTTCTGATTTCCTTCAATTAAAACTGGAATGGAGTTTAGGCCTTAGCTATATTTAGACAATCTAATCTGTACATTTATAATATTTCTGTGCTTTGAAAGTTAGAGCAGGGTTCGTAGCGGTCCTTATAAGTGCTTATAAGTCCTTATATTTGAAAATAAAATATAAAGGCCCTTATAGGTGCTTACTTTTTCTTTAAAGCCCTTATTTTTTGTTTTTAGTGCTTATTATTTGCTTTTAGTGCTTTTTTTTAAATGAACGCACAATTTTTCCCCGTACCAAAGCCGAAACTAAATAAACAACTTTTCTTCCTAATAAAAATGGAATGTCAAATGGTGAATCATACTCCTGGAAATAGCTTTTCCTCTTTCTCTGCATTAACATAACCTTTGGTGTGCGCGGAGAGTACAGATACGGGTGGCCGTCGTTCTGTTGGTCAAAGAATTGCGAAAAGCAGTAGAAAATTCCTGGTACATTCGGCATTCTCTTTTCTCCCACCCAAATACTACACACGTTTGAATTTCTATCAAGATCTTAATAATTTGCATTCTCGTTCCGCATGGTCAGTTCATATTCGTGCTTATTATGATCGTTATGCTTATATTATGAGTATATGTATGAATGTTTATAATAACATAGTTGCAGTAACTGCTGAGTATAGTAAACTTCCAAAAATGGTTGTGTTTTAACACATATTAGCTTTCTAATTAATAATATTCGGAATGGCTTAAATAAAGGGAAAGTAATCGAATAAGTCAAAATAATTTCACTTTTTTGGCCAATACCATTATACAAGTACGAAGGTTGGGAGGTTCTCCCCTTTCTCTCCGGAAAATCTCGAATATTGAAACTGTTACAGTTCGCTGCAAAACAAGCAACGGACCTTTTTTTTTCTTTTTTTTTTTTTTTTTTTTTTTTTTTTTAGTCATTTTTCAATTGGGATTGAATAGGACTAAAAGTTCTGCGGTCTACCAACCCAAGCGAAGAATGATTCTATTCCGGAAATTTAACACAGTCTGTTGAAAATTAGAATGAAAAACACCCCAGATTGGTAAGTCTCTTTCTTTTCCTTTATTTAGTTCTTTATTCTCACAATATCGACGGCTGTTGAATCCGATTGCGTAATATCATGTAGGGAGGAATTACGGCGCACGTATAACGTTTGCGATATTTTGCAGAGATAATTAATTTTGGAGTTCGGTCCAAGATTTGTTTAGGAACACTTAAAAGAGTTTTACTGTGCTTGCTAAGTAGAATATTTTTCTGTTCCATTGGTTTGTTTTTATATGATGCACATATCGAAATGTCAAAAGCATTATTTAGCAGAAAAATCTAAAGAACGGCTAAAGTCTATCCCCCCTTCCGCTCCTCTTTTTCAAGTTATACTCGACTGTCCGAATATTCGCCAATTTCCAAGTATGTGGGTAGTTAAGCTTTTACTGTTAAAGGATGACTGCATGAAGCAAATTTCTGTCTTCTGATTTCAGAAATGTTCCTCTTTTTTACTTAAATTACTTTGCTTGCAATATCTATTAAGGAAAAACTGATATATGATGAAAATTTAGAAAATGTTCAGAATTTAGATTTAAATTAGTTAAATAATAATATGAGTGGAAAAATAAATTGTATTTATTATTAAGTTCCAAGCGAATAGAATAGATATGCCTTATTATTATTTATTTCCTCTATTTTGAACTGAAATTTCATCATTAAATCTTGTAATATAGTTTAGTTCTGCATAGGTTTTTTTTTTTTTTTTTTTTCTCTCGTAAACTAGTTCTGTAAATTGAACTGTTATTTAAAATTTTTTAAAAAAAGTAATTATTTTCCATGGTTGAGGTGATGCTTATTCTCTCTTAATAAATACTGCATTTCTCATATTTTAAATTACAAGTTTAATTTTTGAAGTTATGCAGTTGTGTATAATGTAATTAGACAGGTGCTTATTTTTTTTTTCTTAAAATGTGCTTGAAAAGTGCTTATAGGTGCTTATTTTTTTAACTAAAATGTGGCGATGAACCCTGTAGAGAGTGACTTCTCTCCTGTGTTCACGTTATTCCACAAATTAATTGCAGCCTCTCTAGTCACCCTTTAAAACTAGTAATTAAAGAAATGGGGTTCAAAGTTTTTAAGTAATTAAAAAAATAAATGGTGCCATTTAATTAATTTATTGATGGAACTGGAATTTTAATTTGTATTACACTGCAAAAACTATTAACATTTAAAATAAATCAATAAACCTCTTGAGTGTTACTATGAGAAGATTAGCTGGATGAGTGATACTGGATTTTTAACATGTCAGAAGATCAGCAATCCACCCAGCTTAACCTCCTAAAACCCTGCCAAAATTCTCATAATACAGCATTCAGATCGAAGCAATCAAAAACACTTGCCCCCCCTCCTTGATTTTTCTCTATTGAGAATTAGAGTGGTCATTTGTCCCCTCTATAGACACAGTAAAATTTACATGTTTGTCAGAGGCTGTTTGTCTAGAATGGGTTGCTATGTTTGCGATTTTTTAATGTTTATTTGGATTTAATTTAGACTAACACATATTAATTATTTACAGCAAAATGTATACAGTGTTTAATATAACATTTACTATTTCTGCTCTCTCGGGAATTTGTGAATTTTATTACTTTGCTTTCACACTTCATTTATATATGCATATTTTGTTTTAAAAACTTAGGAAATGAGAACAGAGCTTTTATGTGTGCAGGTGGGAATGCGATTTTTGATAATCTGCTTTCATTAATACAGTAATAGCAATGAATAATTTAATGAACTCATTAATAATATTTGTTACTATTAGATGATTGGAATATGATTCATTACTGTTAGATTTTGAGATAACTTGAAGCATTCTCTGAAGCACACTATTGTATGACAGCTAGAATGCAGTATGCAAAATACATACTAATCAGCACGGAATTTGGAACTAGGATGAACATCTTCTTCAATGGCCAGACAGCCAAGGATGGGCCCTTGCCTTCCTCAGAATCACTTTCTAAGCCCCTCTATCCCTGGCCATGGGCATCCAATTGTTTATTTTTAAATTTCTTAAGTCTGTTTCCAAACAGTTGAGCCACCTAGGTCTCCCTCTTTTTCGGGTGTTGAATGGTCTGGCTAAGAAGATCTTTTTAGTTACACGATTTTCATCCGTTCTGCACAAGTGTCCTGCCCATTTAATTCTCTGAATTCCTTATATATTATACTATATCTAGTTCTTTAAAAGAGAGTTAGTTCAGAGTTAGTTCTTCTTCCTGATATCCCCAGCGGCAGGGTGCCCGGCTATATACCCTCAGATCCCGGGTACCCATTTTAGTCATTTTTTACGACATGCATGAACTACTACATTGGGACTATTCTTTCACTCCCGGTCACCACAGAGGTGAGGATGAACTTAATAGGATGAGCAATAATAAAACTTAAAATCTGTTCTCCTTAATTTTGTTAATCCTATCTAATATTATAAATGCGAAATGTTAGTTTGTTTGTGTGTTTTGTGAGGATATTTTGCTTAAAAGCATATACAGCACAAAGTCTTTAATCCAGACATCCATAATCCAGAATGATCAATAATCCGGACCTCAAAGCTACAAACTTTTTGCGTATATGCATTTACGCATGCACGTTTGATGTATAAAGGATGGTATAAGCTAGGCTAAAATTATCTAATTATCTATTTCAGTTAATGTTTCAGATTGCATTGTTTTTAATCTTCTAATTGGATCCTGTTTTTTATTTTTTTTTTGCAGACTGTTATTATTACGGCAATTTTATAAAAGTAAGCTTGAACTTTCGATTATGTCAAAAAGAGTTTCCGATTCTGGAGCTGCCAAAGGATCTACAAAGCGAAAGCATATTTCGATGTCCATCAAACAAAAAGTTGGAATTGCTGCAAAAAATGGATAAAAGGGCATATCCTTTATTTCTCTAACCTTTCCGAAATCTGTTTATCAATTTTCACGCTGCTCTGCGGGGAGGGGGTGGACGTCGCGGCGCGCAATGAACTGGAAGTTGATCTGTCTGCACTATCCTCATCTTCAGGGCAGATGTTTTTATTTTATTCGGCTTATAATTCCTTACTAAATGTAGTATTTCATCTCGATGTACTCCATCTTTGATATGATTTAAATCAAATTCCTCGTCATTATAAATATCACGAATACACATCTATAGTTTTCTGGTTGCAATTTTCTATTTTCGACTATGTTTAATGTATGCTTTATGCATGCGCGCGTTGAAAGAAATGTTTAATAAAATAAACAAATAAATATTAAGCTTTTTTTTTTTGTAAATTTTGATACCCTTTAGATCATAATTGCTCATTATTTTATAAATTATGGTTTCATATTTTTAATTTTATAATTTCTGCATGCCATCTTACCATATTTAAACTGATGTTCTATAATCTGGAGAAATCCCTAATCCGTAATCGCCGAAGTCCCGACGAGTCCAGATTAAAGACTTTGAACTGTATTAACGGTTTCTGATCCGTATAAATTTGAAAATTTCTGCCCTCTAACATGTGTCAGAATTTCTTATTGCAGAATAAATAAGAAATAATTCCCTATTTTATGCAGACCATTTCTGTTGACTTTTGTTCAATTTTATAGAGAAGAATGCTGTAGGTTCCCATGTTTGTTGGGACAAGTGCATAAGAATGCCGCATATTGCGACGGCTGAAGCGTCTACCCAGATGATTGACTGGTCTCTGGGAATAGGGTGTCTCAAAAGGGTAGCCTGAGCAGTGGCATTTTTGGCAGTTATAAAGGCTTGTTCAGCATTTTCATTCCAATTTAACGGCGACGAGGAATCCTTAACACGAGGACATGGTTTCTTTTTATTGATATGCCCTTCTAACAGTTTTATTAAAGGAGAAAGAATGTGTGATGCTTTAGGTGTGAAACATCTGTAAAAGATAAATATGCCTAAAAATCGGGAAAGCTGAGTAAGAGGTAAGTTGAGGGAAATCTAAAATACATTTGACTTTGTCAGGAAGAGGTTCAATTCCTTTTTCACTAAGGTAAAAACCTAAGAAATCAATAGATGTTTGACCAAAGGTGCATTTTGAAACATTTAGGCAAAGTCTGTCTTCTTGAAGTTTTGAAAATAAAGCTTTCAAATGCGTGCAGTGTTTCTCAGGGACGAAAGCATAAACACCTTCTAAATCTCGTGTGACTTCATCTATAAAATGTTGAAAAGTCACGGATGCGTTACATAAACTGAATTGGGTATGAGTACTTTCAAATAAACTGAATGGTGTACATATGGTGGTTTTGTAAATGTTGGCGGAGTTGATTGGTATCTGATCAGGCAGTAAAATCAGCTAAGCATGGAACAGGTATTTATCTTTTATCGTTTGTGCATTCAACACACAATAATCTTCTACAGGTCCCTTTTTTTGGAGCCATATGAAGTGGGGATGCACAATTGCTTCTCGATGGTCTTAATAGTTTGAAATTCTTGCTTTGCTGTTTTTAAGCGATCTGCTTTGCTGTTTTTAAGTGATCTGGTTCTAATCAATGAGATTTCGCAACCACTGGTGGACCTTTAGTAATGATATGATGAAAAGTGTTGTTTTTAACAGGTTGGTTAGAATCTGGTAATTTAGTAATGGAAGGAAATTCTTTTAAAATTTTGTGATAAGGTGTGTCACTGAAGACAGTTTTTACTGAATAAATATCTGCATTTTTCACACAGCCTACGTTCTAAAACTTTGTTTTTAAATCTTTGAGACATTTGTTTCTAAGATCAGGCACCAATTCAAAGAAATGAGGGAAATCTGCTCCCAGAATGGGTGTACTAACATTTGCTGCAAGTCCAAGTAAACTGTCATCTTATTTTCAAATCCAAAGAAAGTGTTTTTTTACCAAAAAATTGGATAGTTGAAGAATTAGCAGCGAGAAGTATTTGTTGGGGAGAGTTTTGTTTTGTGAATTGTTTGCAGGAAGTAAAGACACATCAGAGCCGGTATCAACCAAGAATAAAACGTTTGTTCTCTGATCACGAATGAACAGGCAACGTAAAAATTTAGGCAAAGAATTAAGTTGCCTCTTTTCTTTGCAGGTTTCGTGTCCCTTCCATGAACAAGGTTTGATACACTTATCTTCTCTACATCGTTTTCCAAAATGTCTATGATACCAGAAAACAGAATATTCTGATCGGCTATAAACCGGAACTTGGATGGCATTTACATCAGATATTGTGCAAGGTTTAAGCCAAAACAAAAGTAAAAATTCTACCATAGAAAATAAAATACGAATGATAAGTAGAAACCAAAATGATAAAATGAACTGTAATTGCTACTCATCTGTGATCCAGAGGATAAAAATCGATTTAATCCAAAAGTTCTGGTTTGGAAGTCTTGAGATGGCATTCTGTCAAAACCGAAAGTACAGTACAAAGTCCGAAATCCTGACTCGTCGGGACTTCGGTGATTCCAGATTTGGGATTTTTCCGGATATTAGATCAGCAGTTTAAATCTAGTAAGATGGCATGTAGAAATTATAAAATTAAAAATATGAAATCATGATTTATGAAATAATGAAGTATTTATGATCTAAAGGGTATCAAAATTTACAACTAAAAAAAAAAAAAAGCTTAATATTAATTTACTTACCTTATTTTAAACATTTCTTTCACAATGTAAGTTCTTTAAGTTGCTTTGCTTTTTGTGCTAATACTTTCTCTTTAATTCTATAGACAGACATAATCTCTTTAGTTACATTGTTGAAGTCCTGTAACTGCTGTGTTGACAATTCCGACTAACTTGTCAATCGAAATTTTCTTATTTTTCAATAACTTCTCTGTCACTTTCTTTACTATCGATAACAGTATTTTCTTGATCTAGAATTATACTACAGATTTCACCATTCATTAATTGATTCCTGATTGAGAATCATTGTCATCACAATGAAAAACTTCTTTTATATCATCTTCATTTATTTATTACCACTTCTCCACCTTTCTTTACAAAATCTATTAATTCGAAAATTTCACCTTTGTTTTGGAATATCCGATAACCTTTAAAATTAGCAGCTGTCATCATCAAATTTAACTATCCTTGACTATATATATATTTGGCTATGCATCATGATTGTTGGTGCCTAACGACAAGTTCTGTTAAATTTTATCTTGCTTCTATCGCGTTTTGAGATAATTAAGCCTGAATTATATTAGTTTAGTTATTTATTATACTTATGTGTATTTCTTGCACATGCTTAAGGCTTATCAGATTTCTGAACAAATAAATTCCCACATATACTTAAGCCTTTTTGAGAGCCTGCGCTAGATATTTCACCCCCTGATGCAGTCTTTATTAGTCCTAAATTCTGCGACTCGGTGCGGCCATACGAACCCTGGCGCTGGTTCTGGGCTTATGTGAATAACAGATCAGTTATTCTTAATTCAAATAGCCCTAAATGTAATTTTTGGGTCTATGAGTATCATCAACAAAATCCATTTCTAGCATATGGAAGGAAATTTTTGGTAAATTTTTCCTCATCAACATTTTTTAGTGCATTTAACTTAAATCTAGCCAAGCGTAATGTCATTATAAAATGTTACCATACTCCTTTATTATTCAGTTACTAACATAAAAAAAAAAAAAAAAAAAAAAAAAAAAAAAAAAATTAAGCTTCACTACATGAGTCATTCCTTAAGTTGTCATGTTTTGATAAACATGCAGTGATGAAAGAAGAGTATGATAAATAATGTTTCGCCAGGTTGGTGTCAGATCAACAATGTATCTACGTGGAATGTTTTGGTTTGAGAGGTATGCCAAAGCAGATAGATATGCAGCAATGAAGCCAAATTAGTGATAGTACAAATTTATGCTAAAATGATTGTTTCTTCAATAACAAGGTATTTTTGTATTTAGTGCCGAAGTGAAATTAAGAATCGGGATTCTCTAGATGTTTTATTATGCACAGAGGGGGGAATGAAATGCGCATGCGTAAAGCCTATGAGAAAAATGGTTTTGGTGGTTCTGAGGTCTGGATTTTAGATTATTCCGGATAATGGACGTCCGGATTTTGTACTTTGTACTGGACTTTTGAGCTATTCACATGGCCTGATTTAGCGAAGTCCAGATGTCACCAATGTGGTAATGGTTGTGGATATTACATTAAGTGTTCTCACTTCATCAATAACTTTAAGCAGACATAATACACAGTAAAAATTTATCTTTATTTCAAGACTTCAAATATGCATGCTGCTCCTTGAACAGCTAGTTTCTCTTCTCTCTCTCTCCGCTTCTACCTAGGGTTGCCATATTTATCAGCACACATGTGGGGGCACAAGGGGCGCTTCTTATCACTATCACCACAATTTACGTTCTTCTTAGGATCATAGGTAGTTGGCATTGTCAAAATACTAAACAGCCCACAAGTGAAGGCCAATTCTCTGCCTTCTGAGGTTTGGTGATATTGCTATACAGATTATTTCTTCCTACTAGCTAAGGAAAACCTGTAGATATTTTATATGTTTGTCTGATATATTTATTATATTTTATTTTGCTCCTATAGATCTCTAGATTTATATCTAATTATGTCATGTCATGTCTCATGTCTAACACATTAGTAAATCCCTCCTAGGCTTTTTATTTAAAGCAAGACCTAAGTATTTTTTCTTTCTTTCCCTTACACCTTTTCAGTGGGAAAGTGAATTTTTACTTCATACTTGAGTTTTTCACGTTAATTTAATGTTCAAGATCACTGAGTTTTAGTAACTGCACCTTGAAATGATTTCTGTCGATTTATGTGCTGATTGCTTAAACGCTTTTTATGGCTTTCTCCCCCTTTTTTTTAAATTAATTTTTTTAATATAAATACAAACCAGTTTCTCTTCAAAAGCTCCATTTAAAGATATTAATTTTGAGGCAGATAATTGATACCCTGTGAAGTTACCCACCTGCTTTGTTCTTAAAATTTATGTAGATTTTTATTTCTTGAACAAATTAATTATCTTATAGGCACTATGATGTTCTATTAAAAACAGTCGAGGAAAGTAAAGAAAAATATAAAGAACTGGAGCGACGAGATGTAGCTTATGATGAAGACATGAAGCATGCAAAAAATAAAATAGAAGTTTTTGAAAACAATTTGGAAACTTTAAAAAACGAGGTTTGTTATGTTAATTTTTATCATCAAACTTTTGTTTGCCTATTTCTTGAAAATAATGTTTCATACTTGAAAACATTTGAACATTTTATATGATTAAAAGTGATTTCAGTTATTAGTTAAGAAACCACTAATAATGTCTTTGAAAATAATAGATATTTCATTTTAATTATTAGCATAATATTTTTGTAATTTGATTACTTCTTTAACTATATGTACAGTTTCTACATGAGATTCAAATGAAAGATATTAGAGTTGTGAACTACACTGAAGTGCCACTGAATTAGGGATAGCTAGTCAATAACGAGTTGGGCCTCCTCTGGCCTTTATAATGGCTCCCAAATGACGAAGCATAGATTCAATAAGTTTCTGGAAGCATTCTACGGGAATGGCTTGCGAAACATCGGATAGAGCTGTTTATAATATAGGAAGAGTTGCTAGTGTTGTGTGATGAGGTTTCAAAAAAACAAAACAAAAACAAGCTAGTGTTCAAACTCCAAAACTCCAAAAGATGCTCAGTAGAATTTAAGTCAGGGCTTTTAAGTAGGCAACTTATGACAGAGAAGTTAGAAGAATGTACATCCAACCAGGCATTCAGCCAGGACCTGGGAGAGATTCAGTTATCTTGCTGAAATACTCCATTTCCAAGTAAACGACAGGACAACATAAATGGATGGAGATGATCACGCAGCAGTTCTATGTACTGAATCATATTGAGGGAGGTTGGTACAAGTACCAAAGATCCCAAATACTGCCAAGAGAAAACATCTCAGACCATGATTAAGCCACCATGTCCTTGTACAGTTCCAATTTACCATACAGGATTCATGGCTTCATGAGGCTTACGCCATATTCTCAGCCTCCCATTGGTATTAATTAGTCCGAATCGAGACTCATCACTCCTTGCTACTCATTTCAAGTTCACTAGAGTCTATTCTCTGTATTCTCTTGCCCAGGCAAGAAGTGCAGCTCGATGGCATGCATTGGTGCTCTCGTGGGTCTACGGCTTCCGAAGCCCATATGGTAAAGTGAGCGTTGCACGATTCTTTTACTGACTGTACAACTGTCGCCTTGATTCAGCTGGGTGGTAATTTGAGCTAATGTTTGGCTTCATTGACTATGTACAATACAGATGAGCCGTTTGACACCACGTTTGTTCTAGGTTAATTGTCCTTTGCAAATTGCCCGATGGCTAGTTCTTTTTCCCATTATCTGTGTTTTCTCGCTATACTCTTGACACTGTCGACCTTGAAAATCCTAGCCGACTGAGGATTTTGGAAATTGTATGGCCCATGCGTCGAGTGCCTACTATCTGTCCGAGATTGAAGCTGTCTAAATCAGAAGTTTTACCCATACTGGCAATTGAAACGACTGATTAAGAACAATCATAGTACTAGCTGTATGTGCATTTACCACAACTTCCTCACGTGAGCATAGATGCCACACAGCACTATAAAATGTGCATAGCCATGTCTATCCCTATTTCAGTGGCACTTCAATGTATAATATAACTGTAAAAACATAGGTATTTAATATGGTAAGTTTTTTGCCTCTTGATTTCACAGATAAGCTTTGCATTCTAAGTAGTCTGTCTGCAACAGTTTTAAATTTCTTGAAGATTTTTTTTAGCACTTTTGATGTAATTCTTCAGACTTAGTGCAGGTAATCCTCAATTTGCACAGTAGATTGGTTTCCAAAAAAAAAAATCTGTATAAACTGAAATCATGCAGTTCAAGTCCACAATTTGCATTGAAAAGAAATACACATGTAATAAATTTAACAAATCCATACAAAACAGTGTTATTTATTTTTTTGTAAGATAGAATGGTATGTATATGCATTATTTGATTCAACAAAATTCTATACATAGCATAATTTTAAAAAAATTAAAAAAAAGCAACAGCTCTTGTTCTGTTTCATCTCTGTTTAACACAACAGCTCTTGTTCTGTTTCATCTCTGTTTAATAACACAACAGCTCTTGTTTTGTTTCTTTGTAGTATATCTAGAATCCTGCTGATTTTCTCAGTTTCAGGTGTCCCTCCCTCCAATTCCCTTTCCTGAAATATGGTAGGACCTGTTTTACTGAAATCCATAATCAAAGATTGTTTCAAATCTTTACTCAGTGCATTATAAATTTCCTGATAATGATATAGAGCCAGGCAATTATTCAATTCTCTTCCAAATTTTAAACTTCTGTCTATGTTCAAATCATTCCCAATGAAGAAATTTCCCAGTTCTTTGGTTAGACTTTGCAAGTCCTTTATACTATAGTACATACAGTTAAGTGTTGGAACTCTTTTATCACACAATCTGTTTTCTAGATTGTGGATGTGGAACCAATCGCAAGCTTTAGTAATTCTACATCATTAAGTTCAGTTCTTCCATTAGCTTTTCAAGTTCATTTGAAGCCGTATTACTTAAATCAAGCAGCTTAGGTATGCATGTAGCATTAAATTGATTAGAATGGAAACAAAGCCAAATTTTCAGTTTTTCAAATATTACACTGTTTTTCACTTTCATGTTTACAACTACAGAGTACCATGTAAAGACACCTTTTTCTGTATGTTTCTGATTTTAGGTTCTTTTTTTATGAAAGCTTTTTTGAAAAGTATCTCATTTCTTATGATATCTATTTGAAAGCTGTATTGCTGCAAACTAATAATAATAATATATAATTTTTACATTGGTCTAGCCTACGTTAAAGCAAAATTCAAGGCCAGGTAAATGGAAATTCTGCTCTTTTTCAGCCATATTAATCTAAAATCATGGAAACTGAATGCTATGAAAATCGGGGGTTATCTGTAATTGTCTTTATATAATAAATTGGAATAATTTTATACTCTTAACCATTAATATGCTAAAAAAGATATTACAAAATAATAATAATAAGTGTTCTAATTTGTTAATTAATTCCACAATGAGGCATCTCACAACTACCTAATATTTTGCCTATCTGAATGAAATTTCTGTGAAGGTTCTGCCATTCTTTGAGAGATTATTTATGGTAAAAAAAAAAAAAAAAAAGGGCAGAGTCTAAGATATTTGTGTTTGTAAACTGCTTTCAAAAATACTCTTCTAGCTATCCAAAAATACTTTACCATAAATAACTTAAGATTCAAATTACATATTTACATGACAAATAATTATTATAAAAAAATAATAAAAAATTGCATCCTTGTTCGTGAAACAAATGGATTTTTTATATAATCACCATGGTTGGCATATCTCTGGTGACACACCTTTATATTGGAAAAAGGAGTCTTTGGATGTGAACTTGGCATATGTTAAGCCATGCTGTTTCACATTTTGCTAGTCTTCATCTAGCATATCTATGGCTGATGTTAGCTGGGCCATATGTTTGCTACTCAGTAACTAAATGTATTTGGTGGGCATGCCAAGACAGCACTGTGATTTGGTAGGCAGTGAAGAATTGTTGAATGTTGCATGTTGTCTGAAGTCATTTTAACTGTTTAAACTTGGCCATAGGCAAGTCTTGGAAAAAAGGTAGAACAGCAGCCTCCTAAACTTCAAAAATAAAATAGAGGTTTTAGAATGTGCCACCAGTGCATATTAGGTGGATCAAAGATTAAAATTCACTCCAAATTATAATTCCAGGTGGTGGACTAGTATGGTGTAATGTGAAGAACAAGATCTTTACCACTGCAGTGCTGTCAGACTTTGATATGAGCATCATAGCATTTATAGGCAGAACAGAGATACATCAGAAAAGACAATGTTACTTGTCCATGTCCAGCATTACAGCTACATATGTCTGTGGAGTAGAAACAAAAGTTATTTTAGCAATGGATACTTTGTAAAGATCCCTCTTTTTGCGGACAACATCAAATCATACATGCTGACACTGATTGTTGTACAGCAGATTCTAGTTTTTGTGTTTGGGTTCTGATTTTGTTTTGCCATTTATGATTGCCATGCATATAACATGCATTATCTCTCATTCTTAAATGTGATGAGGATGCTGCAATCATTCCACTGGTTGATCCATGCATCCTGTACCTAGTAATTTCATATTCATATCAATTCAAGTTGGTTTTAACAAGTGCAATCGTTGATTTCTGTGAAGGATAATACACAGTCTCTCTAAGTGAGAATTCTTCCTCTGTCAAGTTCAGAAACTTGTTAAAATGATTATTATTTTTTTCCAATGAGATGTTTAAAGCTTACCTTATAAAGAAGTGATGGCAAAGCACACAATTCTAGTATTTAAACCAGTTTACTATTTTATTTTTGTATATTTCTTTCAGGCGGCATTAATAGTGCACATGATTTGTGTGTGTGTTAAACTGATCCTGATTTTTATTTTTATGAACACATTGAAAGAACTGTTACCTGAAATTCTGGCCATGTAATTAAAATTAAAATATAAATAAAATAAGTATTTGATGCCTCTAGGAACCTTATGTTTATTTTATTTATTTGTTCATTTTTTGAATGCAATAAGAAAATTAAATTTGTCAGTTTGAATATATCTACATTGACATATCTATCGAGATTTAATTGTAGTCATCATTATTGAATAATATGCCCTGATGTTTCATTTTAAAAAACAGTTCTTTGCAAAATAGAAATAATTATTATTTATAGTTCATATGGTGAATCGCATTATTTAAATTTCTTTCTTTTCTATTTATTTGCTTTTCATCAATAATCTGATGCTAGAACTTCTGAATAACTTAAGTAAGAAAATAGTTCTTTATGAAATACAAGCACTTGCTTTATACTGCATGAATACATAGCTTTAATTTATTTATTTAATTTGTTTAATTTAATTTATTTAATTTGTTTTGTTTAAAACATTGATATGTAATAACATTTTTATATCAAGCGAAATCTAAATAGCAATTTTCAATCTTGTTAACCCTGGTGTTTTTTGTGTACTATTTAAGTTAACTTTCAGCGGAATAAATTGGCAAAGCAGCTAACTACATATGAAAAGGAAACAACTGAACTTGCAGAAATGAAAAAGAAGCTTGAGGCAGAAAAAAGTGTTGAAGAAACAAAACTTACAGAGGTATGAAGGTTTTTTAGTAATTATATCAAATCTAATATATATATATATACACACAATTTATGTAAAGGCAACACAATTTTCTGTTCGAAATTTTGGGTGCAAGACTAAACTACCTACGCTTAATGCAAGCAGTACTATTTTTTGCTGATAACCCGTTTTCAAATTCCGAAAGTAAAATTACATGCAGTTATGACAAAATTTTTAAATTAAGTTATGCAATAGCATCTGCATTTAATATAGCTAAGAGTGTATACGTATAAAGCAAATGCATTTGAATTATTATCACAAACTTTTGCTAACTGTAAATATTTATATTTTTCCAGTCTGATTTATTTTGGTAATATAAAAGAGACTTGAAATTATGCTAGTACAGTAGAATTCCAATTATCCGAATCAACTGGGACCAGACCCCATTCAGATAATAAAAAACTCGCATAATTGGATTTTCTCTGAAGAAAGGGTCTATGTACCCTTTAATTAATTACTGTATGTTGAAAAGGGAGAAAAAACTATTTTTAAAGAAAAAAGAGGTTTTATTTAATTAAAATGAAAAGACAACACTTTTATACACACTGTAAGGAATGTGACAGTTTTATATCTCCCGATCTACTAGGCCGATTGATGAAATTCGAATTGCATTTTTCATGTATCAAAAGCGCGACTTAGGATATGTATTAGATTTATATATAGCATTGTTCTAATACAGATATTTTGACACAAAATCTCACTTCTTCTGAAATGACATATTGATTGTTTTCCATATTTCGATTCTACGATTCAAATTATGCCAAACTGCCAAGTTTTGTAAAAAATCACACGAGTAGTTTTAAAAAAATTAGCTCTCAAAATTTTAGCTCCTCAATGTGAATTGAATTTGATATACAATATCTCTTTTTTTAATAAACTTACTTGATTCCTTTTTCCAGATTTAAAAATTTAGGCTTAATACAAATATAATTCACACATTTTTTATGATCTATTTTTAAAATTTGTATTTTAAAATATTTTTTACAAATTTTTCGAAAAAAATTTCGTATTATAGCCTATAAAACTTTTGACATCCCCTTAAAGTAGATGTATTTCTAGGCATACCTTTTTTTTTTTTTTTTTTTTTTTTTTTTTTTTTTTTCAAAATTTTGTAAGATATACATGAATTTACATATTGGAGTATTTTGAAGTTTGGCATATTCGTTTTGAAAGTATGAACAATGACCTTTTTTTCCCACTTGTGTACAAAAAAAAAAAAAAAAAAAAAAAAAAAAAAAAAAAAAAAAAAGAAAAGAAAAGGAGGTGTGGGTGGGGAAACAGGTTGCTATAAATTAAGAAGTTCACCAAGTGCATTATTCTTGGCGTAAACTGGAAAAATATGGCAAGATTAATTTTGAATTTCTCCATAAATTTCACACCAAATTTTGCAAAATTTAATATTTAGGCAGAATTTGAGTCGTAGAATTGAAATATGGAAAACGATTGGCATGTCATTTCAGAAGTCCGATTTTATATCAAAGTACCTGTATTAGACATACAATATACATTTCTTTGTTTTTATCATCCAACATATTCAACATTTTTATCTCCAGTGTATGAAACTGTATCAGAAATTTTAAAGATATGCTCGTTTTAAAATTATTTCGTGATATTGCTGTTGAATTGAATTTTGTGGTTTAAGTTCGAAGAACGTGATATTTAAATTTCGGGATTAAACTAACATCACTACTTCATAGCCTAAAATGCGGTTGCTAAATTGGTTTTTCAGTTCATATTTTGAATTCACATTTATCATTTTATGTTCCAAAAAAATAATTACTAACAGCTTACTCATCAGTTTGACAAGACACCCATATACCTCAATGTTAAATGGGCCTGTCCCTGCTATCTTATTTTTCCGGTGTAATTTCACTTTTTTTAAGCATTTCACATTACATTACACAAATACATATAATTTCACTAACATTATTTACATATATACAAAATTCATATAGCAAACAATATACTTTTAAAATTACTTTTAATAATACTAATACTAATTACTTTTAAATATTTTTTGATATTGTTGTTGAATTGAATTTTGTGGTTTAAGTGTGAAGAACATGATATTTAATAAATAAAGGTAACACATACATTAAAAAAACACTCTTTTGTGCGTAATATAAAATCTGAAATTCAATTTTTTTTAAACTTATTTTATTTAGAAATGCCTGGTTTTTGTCATTTAAGCACATAAGCTGTTAGCCATCTGATGATTAATTAAAATAATTAAGGGAAGAGCGTGTGTTTATGTGTTCTTTGTCCCTGATCAGAGCCACAAATTGAACACGCATAAGAATTTGAGTCTTTGAAGCCACAATGTTCGGTAAAAAGATGGAATGATGTAGCATGAAAGATTCAGGAATATTATAACTCTTGTCCAGGAGGTACTGCCAAGCCTTTCTCTTATGCACGATGTTGTGTCAGCAATCTTGCTAAATTCTGTTTTTGCTAATCTCTTAGCAAAATGAAAGTTCATAAAATTTTTGTAGAAAGGTCATTTTTTTCTTTACTTTGGAATCTGCTGTCTCGTTTCCCTGTACTCTATAATGATTAGGCACTCATTATAGTGCAATTGAATTGGTAACAGTGTTCAAAAGGCGGGATCTCTCGTAGACATGTTTTGAGTCAGAAGTTCTGTTGCTGGCAAAAACCCCAAAGAAGAAATCTAGTCTCTGAGAGAAGATGGCTTTGGAGAAAGAGTCCTACAACAATAAAGCTATCTCAAGGCCATATGAATAGCATTCAGTTTGCTTCAAAACTGGTGATGTTAACACCAGCTACTTTATAAATGGAAAAATTTTGCTGTGTACACTAGCTTTGGTACCAATGTGATTGTCTTTCATTAAATCCTCAGTATGTTCCGTGAATTTTGGGAAAACAGTTTTTAGTGAAATAGACTGCAGAATGTACATTCCTTGTTAAATTCGTTTTTATGTGACTCAAATCTGGAAGGCACCATTTAACTGCTTCCCTTACAAATTTTTTTGACAATTTAAAAAAATCATCACATTTTTTTATTTTATTATTAAATACAACAAAACGAAACAAACCAAAATATGTAGGTTTTGAGTTTTTAATTTTTTGAAGGTGTAAAAGCATTTATTTTTAATATTAGTTTACTATCCCGAGTTATCTCGGGCAAACAAAAAAAGTTAAATATTAATCTTTGTATGATAGTTTTTGAAACAAGGGACAACACAGAGTGATACCTGACGTTCTACACTGGTATCTGGTCTCTTTTCTTACTGGCTTACTGCTGGAATCTCTTTCACGGGAGCACAGAGTACACTGTCTCGTTGGATGTGAATTTTTTTTTTTTTTTTTTTTTTTTTTCCCCAACCTTTTCATAATCGCTATCTGAAGAATCATTGCTTTCACTATCTTCCATCATCGCCAATATTTTATTTTTTTCCAACGCATGCATCTCTCTTTATACATTACTAATCCACAAGCGAACGTATACTATACAATAGGGAAACACGCGACCAGTCCCTCCAAAAGAACCGCGCAACCAACAAAATATGGCAAACTGCCAATCAAAGCTAAATATTTCCTTTCATTTCCTCCAGACCGAGTAAAACCGTGATAAAAGAAATCGTACTAACAAATTCTGCTTCGCCTGAGTTTCCTCGGGATAATAATTAACTGCAATATATACGAACCCGAGATAACTCGGGATAATCAGGCAAGCAGTTAAAAGTCATATTCTGCAGTAGCACAAGATCTTTTGTAATAAAATCATTGGCCTGGTTGAAGTTTGTGAATTAAGTTAATTGTTTCTCCAGTAGTCATTATCATTATCTTCAAAGCTTTTGCAGCAAAATTGCAGCATTTTTTTTCAAATTTTATGTTTAACTGAGATTAGGTTAGTTAGCAACTGCATGGCAGAAATAGAAGTAGACATAACTACTCTAGTAATCAAGGAAGGAGTGGGGTTTTTCACATTTTCCAAGCTATTGTTAATTTTTATTAAGGGAGTTAGAATTACATTACATTAGTTAAAAGAGGCATTATATATGCTATAGCAGGGGTTCTTAACAAGACAGAAATTCCCCCCCCCCCCAAAAAAGGAATTTCTTAAATTTGCACGGAGCAAAAAAAGTTTGAGAACCACTGTGTTAGAAGTAAGATTAAGATTGTGTCTTATTAACCCTTTCACAACCAGCCAATCTTTTCAAAACTGACAAGTGTTCACCTTTTGCCTAACAAGAGCTGTATGCTCATTTCAGTGCAGGAAAGAGTCCAGAGTACGACCCAGGAAGGCAGGTGTGTCTGTTGGAGAGATTTAACTTTCGTGGTATATTAGATGAATAAAATTTTGTCTTTTTAAAGTGAAAAACCAGCAACATGTTTTATCGAGTTTAAAATCTATATATTGAACAATTATGGATCATTATCTGAACCTTTAGGCAGATCAGTCATAGTTTGTCTAAAACTGGTGTTCATTTTCCCTGAGATTCCAATATCCAAAGCCATCAACCATCATTCTTTGTCTCCAATTCATATATCCCTGTAAAGTCACCTCTGCACTGGGTAGTGATGATGGCAGGGTTGTGGAGTCGGTAGGGAAAATGACCGACTACGACTCTGACTCCTGCAATTTTAAAGACTCCGACTTCGACTCAATCATATATATGTAAACATATACACATGGGTTACAGCTTATTTTTTAATATAAAAGAAGTAATAGATGCTTCAGAAAAAAATTGATGGCATAGCAAATTATTTACATTAATTAGCATTTGTTATGAAATAGAAAAATTGGCATTAGTAATTTCTAAGAAACAGTATAGCTTTGGCAAGATCTTCTTTGTTAAAAGGACCATAGATCCGATTTGATGAACTTCAGAGCTGAGAAGAGTCTTTCCACACGGACTTGGAGTAAGAAGAAGAGCTATTACTGTTAGGGCTACTTCTTTTAACTTTTCAGGATAGATTTTTATAAGCTTAAAAGGGATGCATTGCAATAGCAATCATATTTCTCTATTTCTTCAAGGGCCATGTAGAAATCTTGTTTGTATTTTATCATTTTTATATCTAAAGGCTGTTGGTTCTTTATTTTCATTCGCTAGCCTTAGCCTTTTCAATATTATCCAAATATTTCTCAAAATCTAATTCATCACTGGAAGCATTCTTAATGAAAGTTCATAGATGGCTTTCTGTGCCTTTTTAATTTGTTTGTCATCCAATGAAATTCAGTGTTTTGGTTCTACACATATTGAACCCAGCAAGATCTCATTATCTAGCAAACTAGTTTCTCTTTTCTTCATTGAAGAAATGATAAACTAAACTCAGTGGTGCAATAGTCCTAGTGGGCCACGGCCTGCAGTGCCCTAAAATCTGCTTTTTTGGTCTTGGGCTCTGAAGTGCATCAGCATATGCCCTGGACAAGTGCTCAGCTTGTCACAGGGCCCCTGATGCTTAGTCATCAAGCGAACTTGGTACTCATTTTATCGACACATCCAAGGGATGAAAGGCTGAGTCAACCTTGCCCAGCCCGAGGATTGAACCCCCAACCTGTGGTGTACCTGTGCAACATGCTAGCTACTTCACCACCAAGCGGTTTAGAAGAAATGATTCCTTCTGCAATAAACCCTCCATTTCAGGAAGAATAAGCATCACATTCCTCCATTCTCAACTCTTGTTAATTCTTTGGATTGTAGCTTTTTTTGTGGCTATATACGGCGTAGAAAGAAGAGTTTCCAATTCTGCAATATTATTCCACAGTCTTTCTGTTAGTGAAAGATTAGGGTTATGCACATCTTCTAAAAACGTTCTTAATTCAAACAACATCTATATAATCAAATATGTAATTCCCCATCACGCTACTCTCAATAATTGCTCCTTTTCCTGCTCACTTCCTAAGAATGGCATCAATTTTGGGAGTTCTTGCTGCTTACCTAAATTTACCAATGAGATTTGTAACTAAATGAATCAGTTTAATCAATAATGTCAAATATCACATCCATCCTGCTCCCTTATATTTATTTATTAATATGTCAATAAAATAGAAAATAACTATTTATTAATGTATATATTCCATAAATAAAAAATATTAACTCAGTTTGTCATTAAATGTATTTCAAATCACTTTAATTTCATTTCAAATTCAAACTGTCCAATGAAAACTGGAGTTGGAGTCGACCTGTTTTTAGCAACTCCAGCTCCGACTCCTTTTACCCCCAAATCTGCCTGACTCCGATTCCGACTTCACAGCCCTGGTCCCACCACTGCTTACACGCAGTTAAGTAAAAAACTCTAAACGATGTAACTCACTTTCTTGATTCATTTCAAGAAATAAAAATTTAAAGTTATTGCAAATACGTATGCGCTGCATTTTAGGCTTCGGTAAGATTTAAAAAACTATAAATAAGTAAAAAAATTCATACTGATTAGTATTAATTATGACCAAAGAAATTATTTATGCTTACAGCAAGCCAAAAAAATTCCAACTGAATCAATTAAGCTAACTAAATCTTCATCTATTAATTAGTTGAGAAAAGAATTAATTATGTACAAAAAGGAAATTGCCGAACATTCAGCAAAAGAAAAATTAGAAGAAAAAGATGCTGAACAAAGTAATTGGGTATGTATTATCATACACAAATTTCATAATTATCACATTACTAGAATTAAAAGCAGAATTTGAATTTATGTGCCTTTAAAAATAAGTAATTATTAGTAATTTAAAAAACCTAATATTTGCGCTAAATATATATACAGTACAAAGTCTGAGATCTGGACGTCCAATATCCAGAATGATCTAAAATCCAAACCCTAAAACCACCACCAAAAAAAAAAAAAAAAGTTTTCTATGCTTTATGCATGCGCATTTGATTTTTTTTCCTGTAAGAAAACATATGGAGAATCCCAGTTCTTAATTTCACTTTAGCATTAAATAAAATACCTTATTGTTAAGGAAACAATCATTTTAGATTAAATTTGTGTGATCAATAATTTGGCTCCATAGCTGCGTAGCTGCTTGGCATACATCACAAACTGAAATATTCTCCACTCATGTCCATAAATTAAGGATAATGCAAAATCAGGCAAAGGAAGAGTTAGAAGCAAAACAAATTTGACTTATTTGTAAAGCTTATTTATTAAACAAAAGGTAAAGAGCAAAAAAATGCTATATGTTTGATATTATTAAAAAAATTAGCGATTTTTTCTCCTGGGCAAATTACAAAAAACACCTATTTACAAAAAACCAATATTACATGGTTGGTATGATTGTTAATACATTGTATGTCTCCCAGACGATGCAATACAGTTCGTACAATGCCTAGGCATGCTGAGTATCAAATTATCGATCTGATCTTTGGGGGATATTACACCACTCAAAAAGCAATGCTCTCCGAAGTTCCGGTAGACATGTAGGAGGAGATTGACGGGCTGCAACTCGTCGGCCAAGCATGTCCCACACGTGCTCTACTGGATTCAAGTCCGGCGAGAATGCTGGCCAGTCCATACGGGTGATATCCTCCGATTGAAGGCATTTGCTTACGATGTTTGCACAGTGAGGACGGGCATTGTCATCCATAAACACAAATTGTGCGCCCATGGCGCCCCGAAACAAACGTACATGTTGCTCCAGAATGACATCCCGATAGACTTGGCTTGTCATGGTTCCAATTTGAACATGCAAGTCAGTTCTGGAACCCAGAATAATTCCACTCCAAACGAGCTCCTGCACCACCGTAACGGTGTCGTTCAATGATGTTTTCTTAGTGGTAACGGGCACCTGGAGCTCTCCATATGAAAGTCCGGTGAGAATCAGACTGCAAGCTAAAACCTGGCTCGTCGGAAAACATCACACAAGCCCACTCTTGCGGTGTCCACAATGCATGCTCTCTACTCCAGGCTAACCACAGGCGACAGTGAATTGCAGTAAGTGGAACGCATCTGACAGGTCTACGAGCATATAAACCAGTCTGCCCTAAGCGTCTGTACACGGTCTGCCTTGAAATTGTCGTACCAGTGGCTGAAGAGAGCTGACGAGACAGGTCTGAGGCTGTGCTCCGCCTGTTTCTTTTGGCAGTAACTTCCAAATACCGGTCCTCATTCAGCATTGTAACTCTGGGGCGACCTGTGCTGTAACGTCTACTCACATTACCATCATCTTGGAATCGTTGCCAAAGCCTGGAGATGATACTCTGGGCAATTCCAAGTTCGTCTGATACTTCCAGTTGGGTACGCCCACATTCCAGACGGCCGATAATTCTACCGGGTAAAAAATCATGCAAATGCGTCCTTTGTGTCATAACTATTCGATTATTGCACTGAAATGCTTATAAAGCGCCTGCAAACAGTTTTACTTTTTCCTGTATTCCTTATATATCACTCTCTTACACTCTCGTCATTGTGACATACCATCGGTGTCATCTGGTTACTTCCTGAAATTTGCATATGATTCTGGAAGATGTGTGTAGTGATTTTACAGATGATGTTTTATTTAGAGTCATTTCCGTGGGGACTCCGAATTATCCTTAATTTATGGACATGAGTGTACATTAAAACACTGTTAATTTTATAACTACTAATATTTTATATCCCTGATGCCAACCTGGCAAATAATTATTTATTATACTTTGCTTTCATCACCGTCTGTTTATCAACGCATGACATCTTGAGTAATGTCTCATACAGCAATGCCTAAACCTTTTTTTTTTTTTTTTTTTTTTTTGTATTAGTAATTGAATAACGTTTTACTTTGACATTACACTTGGCGATGATTACAAATTTAAGTTAAATGCACTAAATGCTGATGAGGAAAAATTTAACAGAAGTTTTTTTTCATAAGCTAAAAATAGATCTTATTAATAATTCTCATAGGCCAAAAGATGACATTTAGTGCTATTTGAACTAAGAATAACTGACATTTTATTCACATAAACCCAGAAGCACGTATGGCCGCACCGGACAGCAGAATTTAGGGAAGACAAAATTTCTGGAATTTAGAGGAGTTACCAAGTAACAAAATTAAGGGATCATAAAGTATGGTTTGGGCAGGCATCATGTTGGATGGCCGCACACCTCCACACGTCTTTGACAGAGGCTCTATGAGTGGTGTGAGGTATAGGGATGAGGTCTTAGAGCCCTGTATTCGCCTTTTCGTGGGAGCAGTGGGCCCCCAGTTCATCTTACAGGACAATAACGTGAGGCCACATAGAGCTCTTCTGGTCGACGAATTTCTCGAGAGTGAGTATATTCATTGGATGGATTGGCCAGCCAAGTCTCCAGACCTCAACTCTATACAGCATGTCTGGGATGCTCTGGGAAGGGCAATAGCAACTCTCAACCCCGCTCCGAGAACCATGTGGGAACTGTAAACAGTGTTGCTGAATGCGTGGGACCAATTGCCACAGGCACTGATAAACTGCCTTATTTCCAGTATGACATGACAGTGAAGGACTGTGTGGCTGTAAAAGGGGACCATACCCCTTATTAACCCATTTCTTTTGCATCTTCTGCAACTGCTGTTTCAGATCATCAGACTCCCATGAGTGTTACACACGAACATGTGTGTCTATTATAACTGTTGAATGTTTATTTTGTTTGTATTATATCAACCTACGTATGTTCACATCAAATTTCATTACGACCTGTCCAGTAGTTCTGGAGGCCGTAGATCAAATATGAAAATTCTCTTAATTTATTTCACCAGTGTATTTTGACCATTGAAAAATAATATATACTAATTGATGTAGTATCAATCTCTAAAATTATGGTTTGATATGTGTCATGTAAATTGAAATCCAGTTTAAATGAATAATAACAAAGAATATATAAATTAGAAAATAGTGACTGCTTTAAAAAAAAAAAAAAAAAAAGAGAGAGAGAGAGAGAGAGAAAACTCTTAATATTATTATTCTGAGAAAAGTCAATAGAATTTAAAAATCATTCAATGTAAACTAAAATGCACCTTTCACATGATGCTTTTTCATTCTTAACTCCGAAGGAAAGAGTAATTCTCTTTTCAGTTCAACATCAATAATAATAGTAATTATAAAAATCCTCAATCCTAAAATTTATTATGCTATTTACAATACTGTTCAATTAAATTTTATTTGTTTTAGGTATATTAACACAAAATATTTTTATAAACAGACAATTGTCATGTTTAATGCATGACTAGGTTAATTTTTGAAAACTTAATGACATATGTTATGATTTCAGTTATATTTCTAAAATCTTCAGAAAGAATGAATTATAATTAACGATTGATTGTTCATATGTTAAATTTGTTTCTATTTTTTTACTGTTGGGATCAAAATGATGAAGCCATGATATTAACAGACATTATTTTAATTATCTAGTTTTACATTAAATTTCAAAATTTTACAAGTCTTCACAAAAATATAAGAATAACAGAAAAACAAATTCATCATCTGAAATATAAGTGAAGACAACAATTAGTAAAATTAACACTACCAAAATATTAATGAAAATTAATAAATATTGAAAATTGAAAATATTATTAAATATTCAAAACTGCTAGATATTTTTTCTTCTTTTTTAATTTCAGTAACACCAAATTAAGGATTAAATTCAAATGCTGACAGTGAAACTGGCATAACCAAGTTTTATAGGAATAGTAAATAATGTAGCAAATGAATTTAATCTTTATGCTACATGTGCCAATAAATAATACTTTGGTATAATTTGTATCCTTTCATAACATGACTGATATTTCGTGTTTGTTTATTTCAGTTTCTAACAGTTTCATAGTATCAATTGCTGCACGTCTGACAGGTGCTCTAATCTTTTTTCAAGCTTCAATATCCATCATAACAATTTAAATTATTCAATTCACTAAATACATTTTGCAGTATTCAATTCGCAATTTACTTTATCTAAAGGTTCCTGGTTCTCCCGGGTTTCGGCACCAAAAAGATTTGCAAATACGCATATACATTCTTTGTCGCTAAAACTCAATAATAAATTATAAAGAAATTTCGCTTATCTATCAGACACATTCTCGCCTTTTGTCATTTTCTCTAAATTTTATTTGATGACACAATAAATACATTTACAACAAAGAGAAACACATATAATAAACTTTAGTTAGTGTTTCGCATTCATGTTAAATCTTTGACAGTCATCCAAGTTCTGCACTACAAGGAATTCAAGCCCACACAGCACCATCTGGTGCAATACAGTTTCTACACATGGGTTGACTCAAATAAAAGTATTGCCATCATTATGAAGCATTTCACCAATAGTAAATGGTATTTAAGTGACACTAGTCTATGCTCTTTGCAATAACAGTTATCAAATTCTTAACTAAATATAATAATCTCTGAGATATGCACTTTTATATGACTGAAATTACACTTAATCTGTAATATTTTCACAAATTAGGATTACTTTGGAATACAGAAAGATACATTAAATCAAGCTGAGTCTTTAGAGCAGAAATGAGCAAATTTTCAAAAATAAATGAATGATTTTTTTTTTACTTCATTTGATAATACTTAAATATTAACAAATTATTTTAAAATACATTAATTAACCTATTGAACAGAGCCAAAGAGAAACATTTCCCTTAGCATCATGATCATTTTACAAAAAGAGCATTTCGTT